TAGTAAATAGACACACATGATGAAGTTAAGAAGATATGTAATTCGTCTCCCTCCTTTTCTTTCTTCCTCTTCCTTTTATTTCTCGCGCAGCTCAACCTGGACATGTCTCTGTGTCCTCTCCCCGTCTTGCTGCAGTGGCTGAACAGATGATTTGTTTCAGTGATCAGATGAGTTATTTTACTTTAAGCCGACATACGAATATTATAATATTCAGTTTTGTAAGTCAAATTTATTTTATATGTCAACATCTATGAAAGAAAGAGCCAGGCCACGGAGTGCGATGCGTCATTACGTAGAGATGGTTCACATTTTAATGTCATTTTTGGAGTTTATGTTGTGATCTTTGCGCACAACCCACCTTTGTCACGTGAGGTTTGAATATATGCAACTTTATGTGAGTGTCTTTATTTGTGGAAAAGGGTGTTTGTCTTACCAGTGGGTCCAACATTACACACACCAAATCCATCTGTGCTCATATGAGAGAGTGTAGAGGACGCCCAATGCAGCGCTTACAGTGCCACTTGTTGAGGAGCTGCCTTCTGTCGCCATCATGTGGCATTACTGTCTTCAGACATCTCTTGCTCTCTCTGACTACTTCACGAAAATTGGAATAAGCCTCGTCGGTGGCGGGGTTTAAGGGCAAGGAGAGGAGCTTATGTGATTGGTAAAAACAGGTCTCGGCTGTGTTAAACCCACTCCACCCCCTCTCTCCTCCCTCTCTACAACTTATGCCGCTGGGAGGAGCTGAGTTAGGGAGGGGGGATACTTACGCCGGGCTGTGCTGTTCACCAAAATACCAAATTGTGCTTGGGAACGCCTTGTCGGCGCGGCGGACCTGACTTACGCCACGCTAGCGGCACGTCTCCGGCGAGGCACGAAAATAGAGCCCATTTTCTGATCTTTATGTCTTGTTTTGATTTAAAGTAGACACATGCTGCAGCGAGTCAGTAGGGGGAGCTCTAAGTGTTTTGGTCTCACTTTTAATGACAGGTTGTGCCCTCTTACAGTCACATAGCACAAGCTTGATACCAACCAGAAGTGGTGTACCTGGTGTAATGTGTTTTCTTTTCATTCTTCTGGGCTGCCTGTTTTGTCCAATTTTATTGTGGTAATCTCATCTCAAACTTTTAAACACCTTGACCTGATTTTCACAAACTGGCAGAACAAACGTCTTAACCATAGACTGCATTTACTCATGACAGTACATGCTTTCCCATGCATGCAACCCTTAGGCTGAAATACCAGTTTTACATTTCTAGTTTTACGATGTAATAACAAGCAGATTAACACTTGGCTGCTTTGTTTTCGACAACCCCTGGACTCACTGGTTTTCAGCAATGTACGGTTAGAGTAATGCAGGAAATCTTACCACAGGGTTAACACCGTATATTAATCCTGTGGTCTTCTGCATCTCCATCCACTCTAGCCTCCTGAGATCCCCATACGCCCCTCACACACTCCCCCAATGCTGCTCATAATGAATTTAAAAGCTTCTCGCCGGTTTGTACACAGCCTGAAACAGAGCTGCAGGCCATTCTGCAACACTCAGCTCCAGCTCTTCGCCTGCTCTCCAACATCACTGGAGTCTTGTGGTGGTCCCTCCACCCTCCTCCTCTTCTCCCCTTCTTGCATCATATCTCCCCCACATTGTCCTCCCCCACTGGCTGTGGTGTGATCCTGTGCTGCTTCATCTTTACTTCTGTCTCTTTGGCCAGAGGAACCACTCTAAGAAATACCCACACCTTGTTGAAATTTTTAGTATAAACTTGCGGTTGCCACTGACAGTGGATTATGTCATTTCTTCATCTTTGACTGCATCATGTGTTTTAAATACTATTGCTACATTTGTGAATTTCCCTGTCTGTATTCAAACTACTGAGATCCCAAAGTTAATGGGGCCATTTTGCTGTTGATGATAATGGTAATTGTATAATTGTAAATGGTAATACAACTACTATATAACTGAGAATTAGGGCCTCACTGAAGGAAAAAAAAAGATATTTAAATTGCCAATTTAGTCAGGGATTAGCCACATGATGCTGTTTAAAGGAGCATTACCACAACTCTCAGCTTTTTGCACAGCCTTTCAGAGTCCTGAACAATGTGGTACAATGTACAATGTAATTAGATGTTCAAAATACTGTGATTTTACTTCGGCTTTATTTTTGTGACAATAGGATTTTAATCTGGTAACATCATGACCTGACTTTTCTAAAACTTATTCTTGTAAGAAGGTGATTATACTAGGAGTTTATTCTCTATTATATATTGACTTAATGTGATTTTCTCATAAGAAAATCATTTAACTGAAATCTTTTTCTACCAGTTAAACCAAATCAGCCTCAATCTCTGCTGCTGCAGGTTGCAGTTTATCCAGGACTGCTCCAGATAAAGCTTTAAGTAGACCCTAAGTGGAGACGATTCAAACCACCTGCTGTTTACAAGGTCAACAAAGAGCTGTCAGGCTTTATTTACTTTTTTATTCTCAGAGTTTAATTGGTCCAAGGTTACTGTTTGATTTACATTCATCTGTGCAAGTATTGCATCACTCCAATTAGGTTAATTCTATTTTTTATTAATGATATTCTATGGCATACGGCATATGGTGAACTCTGTTCTAGGTGGTTTAAAAGTGGAAACAGCTTTTAGAGGTCATGACTTTATATTTATTATTTTTGTTGTTCACTTTGTTTCATTTTTTGTCAAAAAAAAAACAACAAAAAAAGAGAGACCATAAAGTGAAGACTGTGCTCTTTGCTTTTGAGAGGTTGTCCTCGTAACAAAGGAAGTACATATTTAGATGCTTTAACAATTTAATGTCATTTCTTTTGCAGGTTTAATAACTCAATATTTATCACAGTAGTTATTCATATTTTCATTGTCGGCCTAAACTACCAGTCCAGTATTAAATATGAGCAGCTGCCTGCCACTAACCAGGCCTACAGTTCTGGTAAGTGATGTCTCTTATTATGGTGCTATGAATCTACTACCAGGACCTAAACACAGGTGGCAGGATTTGGACCTGGAGGTTTGTTACTGATGACAGTATGTAAGATATTCAAACTTTTGTACAGAGTAAGAACAAAACAGTAACATGACAGCATGAAAAGAAATAAAACAAACATGAAACATAAACAACAAAGTTCAGAGAATGACAAAAAAGAAAGAAAGAAAGAAAGAAAACTGCATGTTCATGTTCACCAGCTTCAGTCTGATAGCTCCTGCTCATTGACTACCAAATGCTGACTGAACTTGATGTCAGTGCCACTGATCTCTCAGCTCGCTGCGGTTTGTGTAGCAATGTACACCACACCTCACCTGCTGATTCATTTCATACCTGATGGCATGTAAACACCCACAGTCATCTGAGGACAAGAGGAGCATCAGAACTTCAGAAATGCACAAGGACACTCACAGCACGTTGGTGAAGCTGGTTCACATGAGCGCACATGACAAAACACATGCATCTTTACAGACAGTTTGTTTACTTCCTGACAACAAGACTCAAACCACCAATCATGTTTATTGGTTTGTAACCAGCTGTAGCCAACCACTAAGACTGGATTTTACTGCTCTGTCTTCTTCCAAACATAGGAGGGACTTTGGGACCAGCTTCTGAACAAATTAACTACACTAGTTGTGAGGCAAACAGAGGCCATGTATTTGGAAACTCTCATGTCGAATATTAAAGGAACAAATAACCAGATTACTAAGGAAGTTATCTGAAGCACAAGACTGTCAGTACAATAAAAAATCCTTTAAAGAAGAATCTTTTCTCAATTTTCTTTCATCATAACACAAGCATGGCTACAAGCTCAATGCATACAAACAGAATCTTATCCAAAGCGGCGCTTGCCAATTCTTTCATGTCGACTGTTTCTTTCCATTATGGTCTATTATTAAAGCTCCTGTGAGAAGTTTATGACATGTAATTAAACAGACTGCAAAGAGCATAAGAGCAGATAGAGATACCATGCTGATGATAACAGTTGTTCATACCTACAGATTAAGGTCTTCTATCCTGTAATTTTTAGAGTCTGTTAACATTTCTTTTCATATAGTCCAAACAATCCTTTACCACCGTCATATCCCGGTGTCCACGTTGTGTTTCACATCTGTTTTCTTAGATCCTCGTGTCTTTTAATCTCTTTGACCTTTGCTGTTTTCCTTCTCTCTTTACGCTTCTGTTGACCGGTCTGCTCCTATCCAAATATAAATCATGCAAATTAATAAGTAATGTTAAAAATAACTTGTTTTTACTGTTTGTGAACACGAGCAGAAACTCACACTTTAACCTGTCAACAAACAGAGGTCAAAAAGGCTGGATTTGAGGTGGGGTTTTAAACACAGTTGTAATTTATCTCCATTTCAATGCATTAATAATTTGATTAGTAATGGTTAAAAGCTCTCCCAAAACACCTGTTCTTATTCTTCTGTACATGTGAGAGTTCAGTCCTCTGTGGAGTTTTTGACATCAGTCTCCCCTCCTGTCAAAGAAGGAAACTGTAAATGCTCTGGAGAAAACTTGACTTGCAAATGAGTTTATTTTTCCTTTACTGTCATTCTGCAAAGTTATGGTAAAGCACGCTTATTATGAAGGAAAAAAAAACATGCTTGTCTACATTGGGATGTTTCCAAGCCTAGGGCGACCCCTGGTGGTGAAGCCTGTTAGTGTACTTTCACTGTTATTGAATTATTCTGCATGCACTCAAAAGAATGAGGTTAACTTCCCCATGTAGACTGTATTTGCCTCCAGTCCCTGTGAAATTAATGCAGATTTGCACGTGCAGAAAATTGATCTTTTTGAAAACTGTTATAGATATTTTATGCTGTTATCCTTATTTCACCCTTAATTATTGTGTCATTATATTGCAAATTACACATTTCAGATTGCTGGTGTTCTTTTAATATGTCATGTAATGCATTTGCAATGTCTAAAATGTCTATTGGTTCATTTTCATCCGAATGTTTTGCTCGTACAGATAAAACCTCAAATTTGCTCTTTGTTCATATTTTTCATGTGCATTTATTTCAAGTACATTTGCCCTTCTTATACTTAAAAATTAATCTTTCCAGTTCAAGATAATCAACAAAAAGTGAGTGGATGTGTGCACATCCTGTCATGTATAAAAAATCTTTGATAAATAAGTGTTTATGGGAGGATTTTATTGAATTCACCCCAAAATCAGGTTATAAATCATGTTTTTTGAATCCATTTTTCATTGCATGTGTCAAAACAAACAACAAACTGAATCAATACATTTAACAGCATTCTCTGTCAACCGACTACTTTTTTATTCTGATAGTTCACTTGCATCTCTCTCCTCCTCCTCCTCCGTCTGCAAGTATTGTGTGATATTGCCTCATGCACTTGAAAGGCCTACGACTGCTAGGAGAGATACCAAGAGATTTCACACACACACGCACGCACACACGCATGCACACACTCCGACAAGGGCGCGCACACAAGCTGAGAGATGAGATAGCCAACTTGTGCTGTGAGTTGTTGACTGTTGCAGCTTGATATCACTGCACTTTCAGCCCTCGAGGATCGGACATAAAGCAGGAAGAAAAGTGAGGAATAACAAGACGTGCCAATTAGTGATCCTCTTATCATTTTCACCCTCTGTCTGCCGGGTGTTGACTTCATTCAGGCTTTTATTGTGGTGGGGAAAAGGTTGTTTTTTTAATACACAGGTGTCAATCAAAGTCTGCCATCCTGCGGTCAAACTCTTGCCTGCACTGCAGCCAAAAACAGAGGGATTGATGGCGAGGCAGTTACACTGCAGAGCGCAGAATAGAGAGGAGGGGCGGATTCTTCATCCCTTTTTATCTCTTAATCCCACCCTCTTCTCATTCTGTGTGCGCACCACTCTGAGTGCAGCTCATGAAATTAGGTGTAAAAGGCGTTTTTTTTCAAATGGCAGCATGCAGTGAAAAACAGTCCAAAAGGCAGAGATGAATGAAACTACATCAGTGGTTTATTTGGCTGTAATTTACCTGATGTATAATCTCCTGACATTGACATCCATCGTTTAAAAGGACCTGGACCTCAGATACATCAAATTGATCAATTGAAAACAAAATTCCCATGAAGTCGTACCGTTACCCAACAACGATTTATTGTTGCGTCAACAGGTGATTGTTTGTTCGCAAAAATACAGCCGAGAGAAAGAGAAGAGGAAGTAAAGAAGCAATGTTTCTGTGTTTCTCAGAGCAGAAAACCAAATCCTGAGCATGAGTCTCACCGGCGACCACGGTGGGGGAGAGTGAAGTCACCAGCTGATGAGAGGAATAACTCGGGTGGAAATCTTGAAGCCATGCATTTAACAGAATATTGCCTTCAAAAAACACTCGCACATGCTTTTTCCAAAATCAAACATGCATTGGGAATCTCAGGGGGGGTAAAGAAGTGTAAATACTCAACATTTTTAGCAATACAAATCTTCTAAATGTGCCGGATAATGAATATTTTGCAGAGCATGTTACACACTTTTTCCAGCAATCCCTTTATTCATTCGATTGAAGCAAAAATGATAATAAATGAATATATTAAGTAAAAATAAAAATATAAAATAAAATATATATTTAGTTATGGATCTGCTTCGATGCTGCCGATGTGTGTGTGTGTGTATGTGTGTCACAAAAAACCACAAGCAAAAAATTCAATCACTACTACTAATTCAAAGAGCATTTTGTAAACGATCAATCGTTGCAAGCGCAGTCATCACAAGGCTGTGAGTGCAGTTCGGATCACAGTGGTCACGGACAAGTTCAGCATCTCCTCTGGAAGCCACCTCGCTAAGGCTGGTTAGAGTTTAGTCACCTTCGCTTTGATTTCGGAGGAAAGGTGTGTTTTTGTTCGGCAATCCTCTTGGAACAAAGATATTTTTTGTGTTTTTTTAGAAAAAGAACTACCAAAATCATGCAACTACCATTTCATTTTTGTGAGACAAAAACTAGTTGGTGCTCTTGACTTGATGTTTCTCTTGGTGCTCTCGGTTTTTAGAGGTGGGCGTCTTTCTTTCTTTCCTTCCTTCTTTGTTAGGCACTGCCGTCCTGTTTGAGCCGCTGACTGCGAGCCTTGTAGACCTCGATCAGTAAATCTTTGACGTACTGGATTTCTCGCTCCACCGACTCCGCCTTGTCACGGAGCTCCCGGTTCTGCCCCTCGAGGCCATGCAGCTCCTCCTCCAGAGAGTCCAACTCCGCCCTCTTACGCAGTCTGTACCTGTGATATGAAAAGGGAACAGGTTTGCTTTAGGTTCGCAGGTTTTTTTGCTGCCTTGCATTTTTATTAATAAGCCAAAGTGAGCGTGACCTTTGGGCTACATTGGGTGGATTACACACACAGATCAGACATCCCTCCCCTGAGATTACGTGTTAATTTCCCCTACTCGGTCACTGATCCATTTCGACTTCTCTCTGCTTTCTCCTTTTCCTTCACTTTGATATTTTTTAGCCAGTTTTGCACAAAGAAGAATAAAAACACACACAGTCGGACATATGGAGGTTAGGTGGGGCTGAATTTGGCAGACAGTGAGGGACTTTCCACTTCCCTCCTCGACTCTGTGGGACATTTTAAGCACTGGGGTGGCTGCTTTATGTAACTCTGCTGCAGAGGTTAAGTTATACAGCTAAGTTTTGGGTACTTTTAACTGAAAGATTTGCCCTACTTCTAGAAAAAGCTTCACAGATTCACAGATGAAAAAATAACCCCACTTGGCTGTGATTTCCTCTTTTTGGTAATAAGTCTTTTATTTCGTTTTTGCCACATTTCCACTTATTTTTGAATACTCTTGAATGTGTAAACATGTTTAAAACGGTCAAAAAATAAAGAGCAGAATCTGTTGTTTACCTGTGAGCAGCAGTTTTGTTCTGGTCTCTCTTTTTCTGCTTCCTCTCTCCAGTGCCACCTTCCAGAGAGCCGCCCATCACCAGAGTGGGTTTGACAGAGCATGGCTCATCCTTTAGCCTCTGGGTGGGGCGGTGGATAGGGGCGCCGAGGAGCGTCCCCTCTGCCTCCCCTCTGGACAGACATTCGTAGCTTTGGTCTGCAAGGCATTCTGGATAGAGGTAGTGGCCATGTTGGGGCTCTACAGCCTGTGCTTGTGTGGGCTGATCGAGGTCTCCTATAAAGCTATGGTAAGGCTCCGTGCCAGCCATGGACTGGTGGTAGTAGCCGTCACTGGCCACCATTGTCTCTTGGGGAATAGCCCCAGAAAGTCCTCCATCTTTGCTGCAGTGCAGGACCTCCAACCCCGAGCTGTCGTAACTTACATTGACCTTCACATTGTGCATCAACTGTCCTTCTCGCTTGTGGTGGCTGTCGTACGAGCCGCCCAGACAAAAACCTCGCGCAATCTCTTCGCTGCAAAACATTCCCTCTGAGAAACAATAACTCTCCTCTTCCTTCAACGATAAAGCACATTCTCTCACCTTCTTGACGCCGCCGAGGCTGCTCTTGCTCACTGTCTTCAGCGTGGAGTAGTGGTTCACAGACAACTCTGTGCTTCCTGAGTAACTTCCCCTGGAGCCCCACGAATCCAGTCCAACTTCCTCCCCGACTTTCACCGCCTCGCTGAGGATCCTGCGCCCGTTGTTGTGGTGGTGGTAGCGGTGGTGGTAGTTGTACGGAGCGGGTCGCGCTATTTTGGTTCTGCCGATGGGACCGCCGCAGAAGCTGGCCAGGTCCAGTTCCCCTGTTGCCAAGGTAACAACCACAGGGCTGGTTTCTGATTGGCTGGTCCCATATGAGCCATAGGGTAACTGATAATAAGACTGGGAGCCCATGCCTTGAGCACCCTTATCACATTTTGAGGATTTCTCCAACTTGTTTGTGGTGGATGTGGACTCGGAGCGGAAGTAGTCCTCCAGCTGAGCCAGCTCCTCCTGCAGTAGCGAGGTCATGACCTCCAGATCCGAGGGCACCTTGACATCTTGTTCTAACGGCGAGGGTGGAAGGGATGAGCTGGGAGAGGACTCAGTCGTCGACACAAATGAAGACAAATCAACTTTTTCCGTCATCCAATCTGAATGACCATCACCTATAAAAATCAAAAATAATCATCATATAAACAGTAAATCCTTTTTTTTTTCATTCAGCTTTTTGAAAAAAAAAAAACCAATAAATTAAAAAAAAATTGAAATTCAGGAAAAAATTAAATCACGCAAGGTTAAGAGAGGATAAATCTAAAAAAAAAATGCAAGCTTAAAAGCAAACAAAACATCCGACAAATCCAAGTGAACAACTAACCGATCATCTGAAAATGATTGAACAGCATCGTCTGCATTCGATAAATATCCACTTAGCTGTACTCACTGTACGACATTAGCCCCGTGCTGCACTGCGGCTCCGACCTCGGGATGTGGAAAAATAAAAAAGCGTCTTGGCAAAACTCACCAATTAAGTGCTGCCTCTCCGCTGGCTCCGCCCCCGTCCTTGGCCGTGATTGGCCGCGGCTAGCCTGTCGGTGAGGGAGAGCGCCGAGCTCGCCTGTGGAAATGGGAGGAATTTTCCTGCGAAGGATCGATGCCGCCATTGTGTCGTCTGCTTCGATTAAATTGTTCAAAAGCACAAACAGTGCACTGGCTGGATGAAAGAGTTGTGAAAACACCTGAAGACCTGTAAAAAAATTAAAATTATCAATTTTTTTTATTTATAACACCTCCCAATCCAACACATCAATAATGTATATTTAATCACTCAAAATTTTGAAAAATGTCAAAAAAATATTTTAACACATACACAAGAAAATGAAAACTAAGCTGCAAAAATGAAATATTTTAAAATTTAATTGATATTAAGTTTTTTTTTTTATGTTCACCTGTTACCTTGAGAAGTCAAGCAATTATTGATTTATGTCACCATTAATCAAAAAGAACAACTTTCAAAGATATGGCATGATACAAATTCTCAATAATGAACCAATAGGGAAAAAAGGATCAAAAATAAATTAACTTTTATATCACTTTAAAACAAATGTACAGACTTTAACACAGATACCATGGAAATAAGAATTATTGAACCGAAAATTTTCCTTTAAATGCTTTAAAAATATATATTTAGGCACAAAGATGAATAAAAATCTGAATTTTTCACAGTTCAAACAGTTATTTTGACAAGAATGCTATAAATAGAACCTGACAATCGCTCAAAAAGAAGAGAAAATGTCGTGAATTATAAAGTAAGATCGTAAATTTAGGAGGTAACGTTACTTTGAAGATTGTATGAACTGTTTGTTAAGTTTTTCTAAAATAACTGAACTTTCCTCAGCCCCTCCATAACCAAACTTAACGGCAGACAGCAGCTGTACTTACCCCATAGTTTCTGAGTAGTCTTGTTAAAGTGCGTTGCTGAAGCAAAGCACACGAAGCTGTAGGGTGAAGACGAAAACAGTCAGAGGTTTAAAAAGCCATATTTTCTCCTTTTCGCAGTCAGGGACTCTTCATGAAGTGCTATTTGACGACGAACAGACTTGCAGACAGAAAGTTTTTAAGTCCGCTACTTCTGCAACTCCTAATGCCCGGACCGAATCACAGCAGACGGGATCACTCCGCGGTTTACAGAGTTCAACCGGCCGTTACGTCATGAACCTGGGGACTTTCCCATTATCCAGAGAGCAGAGTGTGTGTGTGAGTGTGTGTGAGTGAGGGAGAGTGTATTAACCCAGCACACACTCATCTTCTCTCTTAAAAAAACATCTTCATTTATATTTGTCAAGTGTTTAATCTTTAAACATTATACATTTATACACACAGCTTCTGTATCTGTGTAAAGTGTCAATTAACACTATTTTCAGTTGATTGTATATTCCTGTACAATTTTTCAATCTTATCTTTAACTTTTCCTGCAAGGCTGTCGGGGACTTTTTCAAAAACTTCTATATTATCTTTCATTTTTTAAAATCTATTTATTTTTTGCCTGTATTTCTAAATTCATCTTAATTGTATTTGTTTTGTTTTTATTAAAAGTAATGAAACTCAACACGTATCTGAAATTGTAAGGGTTTGTGACGTGCGTGAGGCGTTTACTTGCCAAAGCTGTGCAGACATTTTCCAAATATCTAAGTCATTAAAACTAACATGAGCTCACGCTGGAAGGTCTGTTAAAGAAAAAAAAATCAGCAAATATTCAATTTTCGAGTCAAAAGTGATCAATACGTAGCGAAAGCTCAAACAAACTTCTGAAGAGAAAAACAAGCGTGGGGCTTTGAGGTGAAATCAACAGACGCTCTTACCGGCACTAGTTTCCGTAGCCCTGCTGCGGAGGGACACGCTGTTGCAGTTCGAAGGTGTAAGTTTAGTTGCAGCCCTGTTGCATCAGATCCGCAAGGGATTCGCTGAGCGCCGTAACAATGTGGCCACACCATTGGTTTATCTGGGGGAACTTTTTTATTTCTATTGGCCTGCTATCATTCTTACACTGATTGCTAATCATTGCACATTATCACCGACCTGGGACCAGTTTACTGTATGTTCTAACCAGACATGAGGGCTGGAAATAAACTCATGAATGAAGTGCAGCAGGGGCCAAAAATGACACGAACTGACACTAAAGAATCAATTAAAGTTAGAGACAGCAACATTTTATTTCCTCATGGACCTAACAAAAAAAGTTTCATCAGTGTAGTGCATCCTCCACCCTTATTTCTAACATAAACAGATCAAATTAAATCCACCTTAAGCACTGATATCTAACTTTTCAAGTTAATGTGGCTTCAGAGAGGCTGAAACTTATGACATTAACAAATGATCAAAGTACAAAACATCATTTAAATGATTTGAAGTCAAGAGCTTGTTAATGTTTAGTGTTTGCATATAAAAAAAATGTATACAATGTGGGCCTAGTTTCACACTACTAAAATATGGTGTTTAAAAAAATAACCAGGCATGAAAAAGACATAAGAAATTATTAAAGAAAAAAAAGTTGAATTTAAATGCGTTTTAAACAAAAATAACCATAAACATCAGTGAGTTTGCTTACTGTGATGATGGAGAAAATCTGTTTTTTTAATACACACAGAAGACATCATCAAATATAACCTTTATAGATGACCAGGTGTGCCATGCAAAAGTGTTACACAGTTGCAGGCTCTGATTCTGGGTGCATGTACACTTTAGAGTTATTTTTGTGAATAAATGTAGAAGAAAATATGTAAATACAGGTACAATTTCTCAACTTAAAAAGGAGTCGGACAGCTCTGCACACAGAAACACGATCATTTAAAAGCTTTTACTTCAGTGAAGGACTGCAAACTTTGAAGCGGTTGTAGACCATCTGGCTGTATGTATCTTTAAACTCCACCATGACTCTAATATTTACAATCAGTAATTTCTTCATCATGAGTTCAAAAGTAACATAAGGTCTCCATGAGTAAAGATGAACTCTGACTGTTGCTATTATAAACAGTTAACCTGATGCACAGAGCAGCTAAGTCTTGACAGGATCATAAAGGTCTGCAATTTTTTGAATGATTCTTGCTAAATTAAAACTTTACTCTAAGTTTACCAAAAGCCAAGTCCACATTCAGCTGCAGTGATGATTCAAGAAGATATGACAGTTAGGAGGTCCTGTGTTAAAATAAGAGTCATGTTTTATACAGAAACTCTTTTCATGCTCCGTGTCCACCTCATTGTCTATGTTTCACTAAACAGTTTAAACTCATTTACAAGTGAATAAAGTTTTGTTGAACCTGAGTATTTAATAGTTTGCATGTTTTTCTTTATTTCAGAGCTAACATTCGCAGTATTCATCTGGTCATGAGAAAGAGTGGACCCACAAGGGGACAGGGATGAGTCGGCATGTTTGCATCTCAGTATGAGGTGAAGAAAAAAAAACATGCATGCAGACTTGATAAGATCCTTGTTTTCTGTCTTTTCTTTTCAGGGAATCTCTTTTTCTTAACTGTTATTTACTGATCCAATGTGAATCCATGTCTTTTTTCTCAAAATAATGTTATAATAACATAAATTTATGGACCGATATCAGGTTCTATTAAATCGCTTTTCACTCTGTTGCATGATGCCATTGCATAAACTTTTTGCAAAGAAAAAAGTTACCGAAAGGACTTATCTGTTTTCAAATTTAAAAAAAAGAGCATGAAATCACTTCATAATTTGATAATTCATGCATGAAAAAGTTAACAGGTTTTGAGGCCTGACTTAGCCCGAAGGATTACATTGTAATTTTGGGATCACTTGTGTTTTTTCGTAAAGTCTACTCTGCATTACACTAATTCTTGGGCAAAACCTAAAACCACAGACTACCTGGAGTTTTGGAGATGTTGCACATGTCTCCATAAAACAGTACCTCCGTGAATAAGGCGGTTATAGTTATACCATGACAAAACGATTGACCACTTATTTTCCTGGAGAGATCACTGAAGTGGATTGCTTGGTGTTATGGGGATACATAAGTGCTCCTGGCATAGGAAGCTTACACACCAGGGGAGGCTCCATTAATGCTGAACAGTATGCACAGGTTTTGAAGCTACATATGCAGCCATCCAAACAATGCACTCCTTTCATAACGCATTAAGAAGACGGCAAACTTCATTTTGCAGTACATCAGTATGGCTCTGTCGTAGAAGCATCCTGAGCTGTCACCCACTAAAAATGTTTGGTGCAGCATCACACAAAAAAATAAGAAAAAGTTAACCCTGGACTGTTGAGCAGCTGAAATCTTAGAACAGGCAAAATGGAACAACTTAACACTTTCATAATTAAAGAAACTGATCTAACATGAACAGAGTGTTTTTGAAAGAAGAGCTGATGCAACATGACGGTAAATGTGCAAATGTCCTCACTGTGTTAAAACATGTTGCTGGTATCAAAATTAAAATAAGTGTGTATTTTTCATATAACATAAACATGTATTTCATTATTCTAAATTAAACATATGAAGGGTTTCAATTATCTGAAAAATATCAAATCCTGTTTTTATGAACACTTAACATGCTGTCTGAACTTATGAACAAGGTGTTTTTTATTTCTCGGTCATCATTAAGAGTTAAAGTATAATGTACAACAGATGCAGACAGGTGCAAACTTACACAGACACACAAACATACACTGGATTCTGTAAGATGTTCATGCTAATCATCTGTTTGTGTGTTAAGAGATTATAGGGAAACAAACATGACAGACTACAGGAGCTAACTGTTGATAGCTGTTTGGCTTCCTCATATCATCGTTTAAGTATTTTTCTTTTGCTCTTCCTCTTTCTCATTTCGGTTGCAGTGATTTCCCTAACATGTTGTACAAACATTAGATTTTCTGTCATGTATCAACAAGTGGGTTCTAAATATCCAGCGTCTGTCTAGTTTCATGTTTTGATTTCACCATTGTTGCCACGGACCACAGTCAAGAAAACAGACTTTGAAGTTGTGAACTTTATCTTCAAATAAAGCTTTAGAGGTGTCCTGGATTTATTTTACTTCAATAAGCAGTAAATAAGACGAAATGTTCAGTTTTACTGAAACACAACACAAGGAGCATCTTTACCCATAGTGGCCCAACATATCCTCTTCCTTTATAGATAACAGAGAAGCGCTTGATTTCATTTCTCCTTTACTTTTTTAAAGTGACACATTTAAGTTATGGTTTTCAAACTTTCACTTTTGCAGCAACATGATATTTAAAGCTCAGTCTTTGTCAGAATATTCTGCCTACTCTCAAATAAAAGCTGTGATTTAAAAAGCACAGCTCTTACATTTTATCATCCTCAGAAAATATATATATATAAACAAGCTGCATAAACACAGGCCTTTTTACTAAAGCACATGTCCTTTATGATATAACAGACAGCGTGTGAGTATGAGTGTGTTGGAGCTGCGTATGCTTCTGTCACACAAACACACTTTCACAGTCTCCACGGCTGACTAAAATTTGATGTGCTTGTTTTACTCTGATGCTGCTGTAAATCTCATCTCTGACACAAGAGCATCATTATGAATTAACAGGCTCCTAAAACACAGACGTCTTTTAATTAGAAGGTTTATTGAGCTGCTGGAAACCAAAGCTGCAAATACTGTAGATCTCACACTAAATAATGTCTAATACTTTTAAATAGAGAGATAAATTTAAAGATAACACTCACTGTTGATGTTGAATAACTTAAAATACGTTAATCCTTCTGCAATGTGATTACCGGATTAGAATTAATTTATTCTCTTAAATTAACATTTACATAAATCTGCACACTGCACTCTCTCTTCACTAAACCTTAATTTATGTTAAGAAAACTGGGAGACAAGGGCGCAAGGTTTGCTCAGTTAATAAATTCTAATTAAGACATGAATTGATCAGAATGTTGCTGATCATTACCTGATGATTAAGTCACTGTGACTCCACTAGTTCACCCTTAATGGGTCATCACTTAAAGCTCCTGTGAGGAACTTTGGTTTGTGTCAGTTTTGGCATCCAATGTGGACAAAACAGTCCTTTTTCATCTTGTCCCCCAAATGCTTAAGTGACTTCATAGTGACCTATGACAAATATTCTTATCTTGTTGACTTTTGATAGTTAAATATATCATTAATTGGGAGTATTTTTTTAATGTGAAAATAGTGAATACAG